TGTGGCTAATAGCCACTGATGGACCTCTGCTCCATATGCTTATCTAATTCCCTTTTGAAGCCGTCTATGCTTGTAGCCGCCACCACTTCCTGTGGCAGTGAATTCCATGTGTTAATCACTCTTTGGGTTAAGAAGTACTTCCTTTTATCTGTTCTACCCCTTGGTCATCCAAGGGCCCCACTGCCTCCCTGGCTGGTTTCCTGCTTCTAATGTATTTGAAGAAAGTTTTATTGTTGGTCTTTATATTTTTTGCTATATGCTCCTCATATTCCCTTTTTGCCTGCCTGATCACAGACTTGCATTTTATTTGCCACAGCCTGTGTTCCCTTTTATCAACCTCACTGAGACTACCTTTCCACCGCTTAAAGGAATCCTTCTTACCTTTTACAGCTTCCATTACTTTGTTTGTTAACCATGCAGGCTTTTTTCTATACCTATTTGTGCCTTTCCTAACCTGCGGTATATATTTTTTCTGAGCTTCTAGGATTGTAGTTTTAAAGTCTACAAGCTTCCCCAGTGGTTTTGACCCTTTCTACTTTTCCTTTCAGTTTCTTCCTCACATGTCCCCTCATATCAGAGAAATTACCCCTTTTAAAGTTAAAAGTGGTTGTTTCAGTCATTTTGGGCAACTCCCTATTTATACAAATGTTAAACTCAATAACATTATGGTCACTGTTCCCAAGTGGTGCAATCACTTTTACATCTCTCACCAGGTCTTGGGCATTACTTAGGACCAAATCCAGGATCGCCTCTCCCCTGGTAGGTTCTGTGACCATGTTACATAGCACAGTCATTAAGAGTGTCTAGAAACTCAATCTATTTTTCCCGACTTGAACACATATTGACCCAATCTATGTGTGGGTAGTTAAAATCACCTATTACGACACAGTTATTTCGTCTAGCCACAATCTTTAATTCATTCATCATTTTATAATCCTCCTCTATCTTTTGATCTGGTGGGCGATAACAAACTCCCAGTGTTAAGCTTTCTTTTGGGCCCACTATTTCAACCTATAGCATTTCCAGAAGCGAATCCAAATCACTTACCCTCTCATGACAGAGATGGATTTTATAAATGATGGAATGAACTGAAATATTACTTAAGGGTCACTCTTGGATTTTCTCCCATATTCTTGTATAAAATGGCCATGAAAGCTATAAAAAATAAGCACCACAAGAAAATACAGTGGAAAACATAATGTGCAGCTAGAAATTTCTGTTGTTCTAACTGGAGTTTTGTCACAAGGGAGAATGGTAACGTTAGAACTTCTTTACAAGTTTCTGATCCTGGGATGAAGCCACTTGGGATGTATTGTTGAGGGAACTTATATGTGACACAAACCAACTATGGTGAAGCTGTGACCCTGCTGATTTGGAGCTCTCTTGTGTCTGTTTCTTGGCCCATCCCAAACTGACTTGTTCTCAGTGACTGGCACACTTTTAAAGTCTCCACCAGCTACATTCACTGGACCCTAATGTTGGTGCACCATAACTGCACAAGAAGAGTCCTATGGGACTTAGCTTGGGGTCCTCTGCAGTGCAGGAGCTGTAAATTGAAGAGGCCAATATAGGCCCCAAGCCTATCTGGAACAAAGTGCTTTTGAACAGCCTAAAATGACCACTTTCAACGCCTTGACAGTCTAGCTGTATAAGTCCACCTGGCAGGGGAAAGGTAGTGGCTAGCTAGTAATGGGTTTAACTTGAATTTCAGGAGCAAATGCAAAATGATGAATAATTCTAATAGTTTTGGCTATTTTATTTTAAAAATAAACAACAATCTAGTTATTTTTGCCTGCTTTATAACAAAAATTCCCAATCTGTTCTCCCAAGAAGTAAACATTTTAAAGACCAATTGACTTTTTTGCAATAAAAAATAATAATAATATGATGCGCTGTCATAACTATATGTGGCCTCTTCTGCATCAGAGCAGTTCCTGATGATTTGATCTCATTGCTTTTGCAAATGCAAAGGCATTACCAGCAGTGTGCCCCACCCCTGTTATTTCTCCTCACATCCACCATTTTCCCCTTCCTTTTGCCTGTAGTGTGTTTTTTGCCTTTTGTATTGGTAGTTTATGTATGATTTGGAAAATTCTGATACTTTTTTAAATGCCAGTAAAAAATCCTGTTGGGGGTAGGCATGAGGGGAAATAGATGTGGGTAAAGATTTAAAATCCAGAGCTTTCCATCCACATTTCCCAGAAGCTCACTTTGGGTATGAATGTTTAGGAAAGGCTGTACCTAAGCAAGTTTAGGAAATCTATGGAAGTTCTGTGGAAACCATCTATGAATGTATGTGGACAGACAGAATGTACCACTCCTCTTCATATAGCTTCTGTCTGTTTAGTAAAGTCATAAGTGAAGACACATGAAGCTGCCTTATACTGAACCAGACCCTTGGTCCATCGAAGTCAGTATAGTCTACTCAGACCAGCAGAAGCTCTCCAGGGTCAAAGACAGAGATCTTTCACATCACCTACCACCAGATCTTTTAACTGGAGATACCAGGGATTGAATCTGGGACCTTCTGGATGTTAAGCAGATACTCTACCACTGAGCCATTGCCCCTCCCCTTTGAGGGGAGCGCTTCAAGACCATTCCACCTGCCCCAGATTCAAAACAGGCTGCCCATGTCTGGTATGAGACCTGATATTTCTCTCCTTCTGTGGTCTGAAGACACGTGATTTTTATGTTTTGCTCCCACCCTCTAGCTTTGAAAAAGTCAGTTTCATGGCAAGCCTAAATTCTAGTCTGTTTCATCTTCACTGTGATGTTCAGTGCATTGTGGTAAGGTAAACTGAATGATGCTTGTAAAATCTAAGAGCCAAATATCTTTGGTTTCTTAGAAATAATGTTGCTCACCAGCAGTGGATTAACATCTTTCCCACTAATCAAAAAGTAGGTGAGCTGCATGGGGACAAAGCAAATTCCCAAATAGGACTCAGGTCAGGGAAGAAGGGGCTGTTGCATAGTAGGGGGAGGCATGAAGAAAAATAAGTTTTGAAAACTCCACATCTCTCCCCCGCTCAAGTTTCTAAACCATCCATGCTGTTTCCATGGAATACTGACAGCCATGAATGGTGGCCAAGGTGTCAGGTCTTAGTCGTTGGGTGGTTATTCAGAAGAAGGAGGTGCTACTGCTTGCTTTTCTTCACCCTGAGGCCTAAAGGATGAGGGACAACTGGGTTTATAGCAAAATTAGGTGTCAGATGCATATCCCCAAGGGTAACTCCCCTGGGGGGGATTGCAGGGAAAAGAGGAAGTGGTATAGGAAAAATGCTCCCTGGAGAATTCATTCCCCTGGAAATATGCAGTCGGGTTCTTTGCACAGGCAGGATATGCTGTGGTATCTTTCAGTAGGTACAGAATACAGCAGGCGGTAAGTGGAGAAGAGATTAGGGGAGGGAAGAGGAAAAGAAAGACAGTGAAGACTTGGGAAGTGAGTTCACACACCCATTTTCCAATCCCACACTCACCCCCAATTATTGTAGGTCTGGAAAGTTGTAATCATAGCATTTCCTCTTGAGCTGATCCTTCCTAGCTCAAAAAGAGGAAAAGTTGAGACTATCTGATCTGGCTTAATGGAGGTTGAGGTTGCCAGCCTCCAGGGAGGAACTGCAGATCTTTCGGGATGACAGCTGATCTCCAGACTACAGAGATCAGCTCCCCTGGAGAAAATGGCTGCTTTGGAAGGTGGACTTTATGCCGTCACATCGCTGCTGAGCTCCCTTTTATCCCCAAATCTCAACTCCCCCCCCAACAGGCCTAAGAACCCCCCCCCAC